GCACCCTGGTACTATTCCAGCCCTCATGCTCTCTTGGGGCTGCATGGCAGCTAGGCACCGGAAGGGTTCTACATCCGAAGAGAAGGTTTATTTTCGCAGCTCATTAGACAGTTATATCCCGACTGATCATAGCCAAATGGACATTAACTTCTATGCTGAACGGTATTCAGATATACTTCAGTCAGTTTTGAGAAATCGATGTTCTGTTTGTCAAGTGTGAGGTAAATTTTGGTTCACTGGGTCGAAAGCACTCTTACTGTGACATGATGGGAGAGGACATCCGATAAATATGATCTGGTTGAACACTATCTGCTTCAGGTGGGGGACAACTTATACCATTATCTGGAATACAGTCACCGTCAAAAACTATTCTTGTGTGTTCAGACAGATGACCTTTCCAATATCGCAAGCATTAATCCCGACGATGCTGGCTGTGCGCGGTCCTCAGGCCGAATCATGAAAGACGTCGTATCGGAGGGTCTCACCTTTCTGCGAAACTCAAACTGTTGCACCGGGGAATCCCGTTGCTTAACAGGCCGTGTACATGTTAAGAAAGGACTGCATTCTTTTGAAACGTCTACGACACCTTTCTCATTTGCCAACGTGTGTGGGCTCAAAGATAGATACGAGAATTCGGTGCTCCTTCTGTGGCTTTCGGTTCAGCTTTAGAAGTTCGTGCGGTAAACTGATCGATTGGTAAGACAGTGATGTTTTTTACAATTAGTTGGATAGCATCGGTATGATCTTTGTTCAGGAATTTACGACACACGAAAGTGACATTCGGCCGATCTGTCTCCTCTCACATAAAAAGACCAAAGGTCGCTTAAAAAGACTAAAATTCAATACCATACGTACTTCTAGATTCTAACATCAATGTGTCGTGAGTGTTGTCGCTGAGATCGGTGAAGATTTAGACAAGTGAGTAAAGGCAGCCCATGATCAGAAGAAGGCTGTACTTGGATTACTTCTATTCCTCGTCTTGACGCAACATACTACTAGTAACATACTCTGATCGCCCACGATCGGTTCCACCCTTCTGCCTCGAGCTCATCAGGTGGACAGAGTGCCCTAGTTCTTTTCAACCTTATGTCCTACTCTAAGCGAAATTTAACAGGCAAGTTTCAGCAAATAGTCTCAATTGCACACAAAGTTGGTTTTGACAGAGACTCCATTGAATCACGCTGAATCTCTTGTTTATTTTGGTCCAATTCAGCATACGATTGGCGGAATCTCGGGTACCGCGCCTATCTGATGAGCCCTCCGTTAAAGGGAGGGTTGGATGAGTAAAATAAACTGGAATCGAGTACCCACCACATTGGAAGATTCTAGTAGGTCCCATCAGTTGTAGACCCTACCGTATGTCATTTTAGCCAGAAGTTCTCAGAGTACAAACAATCAGATTCTCCGTTGTGTGGAAGGACGTAGCGATGTGTCAGCGGTGCACTGATAAATGCACCTCGATTGGTAATGAAACATTTTCAACCAGCCCATCGAACAACCAACTATGAACCATGAACCTTCTGATTACCGATAGACTTATTTTATTCACGAGTAATAAAGTTGGAAATGTTTGCTAACCAGGTAGTTGATTTGACCGCGAAATCTTGTCAAGAGAAAAACGTTCGGAGAATTTCACTTCATTAGGCAAAATAACTGGGTTATCATTGGTGTGCTGTCGTACGGAGCGGCGTTGACGAATCTAGATTGGTTGGCCCGGCTCCTAATTTGTCAGTTTGTCAGCAGTGTGTCAGCAGTGTTCCTCCTGTTTTTGCGCATAGCTGGTTGGATGAACTTCGCCTGCATACACTGTGAAACAATACGGTGATTGGTCGGCAGACTATGAATCGGATTCGGACGGCTATTGGCTAGTTGTATTGTTTGGTCACATGCTGCCACCATTGCAGCCTCTCACCACTACGGCAGCTTTTTTCATCGGTATTTCGAATTTCGTGCATTAGTAAGGCATTACCCGTGGTAATATCATCCCATACGGTAACGGATTCATTCATCAACGGTGATTTCCAATTCTCCGAGAAACTCGAAATTTTTTTGCAGGATATCACAATAGAATTGTGTACGCCTACATTTAGCTGTGAATGAGAGATTATTGTAGCGGGAATATGCCGTGGTCTTATCTGGAAGAAAGTTTTCTGTGCCCCGCTGTTAAGTGGAACTACACACGAATCCCGCTTTACCACTCGCAGTCAGGTGCTGCTATGGCCGAGAAGTTCATCCCACGCAATATTGGCCAAGAATTTGGTCACAGCTGCCACCATTGCAGCCTCACCACTACGGCAGCTTTTTTCATCGGCATTTCGAATTTCGTGCATTAGTAAGGCATTACCCGTGGTAATATCATCCCATACGGTAACGGATTCATTCATCAACGGTGATTTCCAATTCTCCGAGAAACTCGAAATTTTTTTGCAGGATATCACAATAGAATTGTGTACGCCTACATTTAGCTGTGAATGAGAGATTATTGTAGCGGGAATATGCCGTGGTCTTATCTGGAAGAAAGTTTTCTGTGCCCCGCTGTTAAGTGGAACTACACACGAATCCCGCTTTACCACTCGCAGTCAGGTGCTGCTATGGCCGAGAAGTTCATCCCACGCAAGATTGGCCAATAATTCGGGACGCTTGTCGATCCGGCATCAAGCCGAGATCTGATTGGTCGAAAGTTTTTACTCAACCGCCAACCATGACCCAGTACTGGCCGAATGTCGCTTGTCACTGGCACCCCCAGAATGCGTCAGAATTTCCAGA